ATATAAATCCCGTGCAAATTCCGTATCCAAACCATATTTTTGGTGATACGGAATTGTGCATTTTTCCGTATCCTATTATGATACGTTATTTCTAAGGAAAAAAAATCGTATAAAAACTTTATAAAAAACGTATCCAATTTTTTTATAGGGAAGGTGTTGTCATTTTTCCCGACTTTCTTGTTTTCATGATTCTCTATGATTTATTTTTTTTTCATTGCCCTTTCATAGAATAAAGACCGATAAACGGCGAAGTCGATATGAAAAAATACTAAGTTTGTATTTTTTTTTAAAAAAAAAGGGCTGCTGATGAGCCAAGAACTTCTAAGATTCTTAGTAGACCGTGAGTTATTGTTGCTACACACTAGTGAATCGTGAAGTTGTACAGTGATGACTCTGAGAGTCAGTAGTGATTCATCAGTAGTCCATAAATAGAGAGGCACTACTGAACCGTGAGTTGCAGTGTGTTTTTGACCGAGTCAATCACTATTTTACAGCAATACTCGTAGCTCTAAAATATTTACTGGAACAACGTGAAATATTAACTAATAATTCTTTATTCTAAGAATTAAAAAGAGTGGATATACTTTTAGGAATAATGGGATATAGAGCTATAAAGGAAGAGAAATCTCTGATAAATAGAGTCCTCAGAAGTAAGGTATGTTTATTATTACATAATTTTTTCTTACACATTCGAATTATGAAATTGCCACTGACATGTTTCTGTATTTACTAGTCGGACTACATACGCACGCGAGAAAAAAATATTGAGATTATCTGAGAAAATAGGTCTAAAGTAGCCTAAAGTCATAATAATTTAATGAGCAATCCCATTTCTGGAAAAAATAAAACATATGATTCCAATATAAATCATTTATATATAATTATTTGTACTCGCAGTTTATGCAATTGATTATACAAAGTAAGCAAACAGGACATTTCTAATTTATGCCTAACTAAAAAAAAAAAGTAGTATCGTTTACCTAGGAATTAATTAATCACAGTAAAATGTGGGAATTTTGAATTTAATGAGCTACTTTAAAGGTGGACGTCCTTAACGTACAGTCGGGGTGTACGAAATTAACGTACGAACTGGCCCGAGTTTAGGGGTTATGCACTTGCACGTTATAGCGTTAACGTCAACTCCGGTCAGTTCGTACATTAATATCGTACACCCTCACAGGCCTCACTGTACATTAAGAACCCGTTTTAAAGGATTTCTAATTAATGGTTCAAACCGTTCAAGGCTCTTCTATGAAAATTTATATCTAATTTCTATTTTTCAATTACATATCAAATGAAAATATCATGATTAAATTAATAAAATCGATAGAATTTTTTCAGTGTAGAAATCCTACTTGTCACTCATTTTATCACGTACTTATTTATTTATTTTATGTGAAGTTGGACAGACAATTAAACAGAACATATACCCAACAAAAGGGAATTTATCCTACTTCTTGCTATCATCCATTTTGGTAACGGACCCAAACTTCTAATTATATGGAAACTGTAGTCTATCCCAACGCCCCGACCGACGAAGGAATAGGAGAGAACCCTCCAAAAAAAGACTATCTAGAAAAAGGACCCTATATATAATTATATGAAGTTGTGGCGTACTTACACATTATAAATGTTATAATCAAATGAACATACAGGAGATGAATAATCTAAAAAATCGTTACATTCTAGATGTGAAAAGAAGGAACCGCTATGTAAAAAGTTAGAAGATGAAAATAAAATAAACAAAAATTCTTTATCTAATTTAAAATTTCTAAAGTCATTAAACGGGTTTATATAACCATATTCACGATCATGCTGCCTATTAGAAGAATTAGGTACAGAAGAAGTCCCAATATTTCGTCTTTCATTAATAAAATTTTTTCCTATAATCTTTGAATGATTTTTTCGTAAGGTTTA